GCGGCCCCCCCCCCCCCCCCCCGGGGATGCTGAGGTCCGGGGAGCCCTGCAACAGGCAGGGGAGAAACGAAGAATGGCAGAAACCTGCCAGGGGAGGGAAGGCAATCAGTGAGCGGGTCGTTGTCCAGGGAGGAGTGTTTCTAATCAGGAGTAAACAAGGAGTCATTCACAAAATTCTGCTTGCGGAGCTTCTGGCAAAAGCTACTTCCTTTGTGGCAAAAAAAGAGCAAGATAAATAAAAACAAGGAAGTGGAGCTCTGACGTAGCCACAGTTACAAAACCATTCCCCACTTCCCCACAACCCCACTGCAGCTGGGGGAGCGACGCGCGCTACTGAGGGGCGCACCGGGGACCGGGCACGGAGAGAAGCTGGCGGGACGAGAGCGGGGACCTCCTGGTGACCAGGGGACTTTCTTCTTCGTGCAACTGTCCTGGGAGGATCCGCTTCAGGATATGGATCCGAAGGGAGCGTGAGATGCCAAGACACTGACGCTGATCTGCCCGAGCCCAGCTGGAAAGACAGCCCTTGCCTGCTGCTTCACCAAAGCTAAGAGTTAAGTGCAATGTTTTCCTTCATCTCTACCCCACCTTCCTTTCCTCCAGCATCCACTGGCAGCAGCTACGTTCCTCCCACCCTCTCCCAGTGACCGGCAGCGCTCTCCCCAGGTCCCCTCCCCACTGCCCTGCACTTGCCTTCTGCGTCTCCTGGTGAACCTCCCTCTCCCTCCCCTCCTGTCTCCCTCTCCCACCCCACAGCGTCCACCACTCCCCTCCCCAGCACATCCCGCTTGCCCTCCCCTGGTGCCTTCCCGGTGCAGGGAGCTGGTGAGGGGCCACGCAGCTCAGCCCCGGCTTCTCCAAGCCAATAACTCCCTGTCCACTCTGACCACAGCCGGGGACCACGTCCCACCACCTGCCCAGCATCCATCCATGGAGGTGAACTACATGTCCCCACTTCCTACACCACCCACGCTGACCACCGATGGAGACGATCCGTGCAGGATAGAGGTCACCGACATGGCCATAGACACTGTCACGGTGCTCATCTGCCTCTGTGGGCTGGTGGGGAACGGGGCTGTCCTCTGGCTCCTCGGCTTCCGCATCCGCAGAAACCCCATCACCGTCTACATCCTCAACCTGGCCGTTGCCGACTTCACCTTCCTCCTCTTCATGGTCGCCTCAGCCCTCATCTACATGATGCGTAACGTCTCCTGCTCCGCTGTTGTGTCTATGATGTACCTGAGGTCGCTTTTCCTGCTCTCGCTGTTCTCCTACAACATGGGCCTGTACCTCCTGACGGCCATCAGCATCGAGAGGTGCGTGTCCATCCTCTGCTCCAGCATCCGCCGCCTCCAGCACCTGTCGGCCGTCGTGTGCCCCCTGCTCTGGGCCCTCTCCATCATTGTCATTGCTGCAGTGACTTCTCTGTGCCTGTTGCACGAGCACGAGCACTGTCGGATGGCTCTCATCTCCATGTACGTCCTCAACTTCCTCATCTTTGCCCCACTCATGGTCATTTCCAGCACAATCCTCTTCATTAAGGTCCAGTGTGGCTCCCAGCAGCACCAACCCAGGAGGCTCTACATCGTTATCTTCCTCACCGTCCTCTTCTTCCTCCTCTTCGCTCTTCCCCTGAGCATCTGGAATTTCCTGCAGCAGTTCAGCTACACCGTCGTGCCCTCCCAGGTTGTTTTCCTGCTCGCCTGCATCAACAGCAGCATCAACCCCTTCATCTACTTCTTGGTGGGGAGCAGCCGGAGGCGCTGCTCCTTGGTGTCCCTCCAGGTCGCCTTCCGGAGGGTCTTTGAGGAGCCAGAAGACAACACGGCATGCAGCAATGATACTACAATGGACACGCTGGCGCCAGCCTGTTGAAGCCTTTCCACCGCTCTGCTTAAGGCCCCCGGGACAGTGGCTGAGGGTTTCCTTGAGTAACCAGATTAATAAACGTCTGCAGTATTTCCCCCGATGTCACCTTCTCACGGTGTAATTCTGCCCCCTGCAGAAGAGGAGAGCAGGGGCATCGCCAAGGTCGATGTGAGCAATGCTCTGCGGGGAGCACGTTGGAGCACGGCATTCCTCCTCCCTGCCAGCCCACCCCCGTTCCTAGGGCACTATTCCCCCAAGGGGAACGTCCCCCAGAGGACCGTGTTCCCATCTCGCACGCTGTCGGCTTTTCAGGATGAGCATTGCCTTTGGGAAACTCTGACTCATGTACAGAGTGGAGGTAAAACCCATTTGGTGTCCTAAGCCCCTCTCCCCGTTCCGCGTCCCAGCCTGCGCAGCCTCTCTGAGCTCTGCTCCCCTCCCACCTCCTGCAAGGCTGGCGGGGGAGGACCACTGCCCCTCACCAGGCTCTGCCGAGGCCCCGCCGCCCTCCCCTCCCGCCGGTACCCGGTTCCTGTATCTCACTGCTTGCCTGACATCAATAAACAGCAACGTGCACCCTGAGCTGCCTTCGGTCCGTGTGCCAGCGCTTGCTGGCTTCGTCTGGGTCCTGCTGCCAGCCGGGGGTGCGGGTGGAGGGAGGGGAGACGTACGCATGGCTTGTGCTCTCCGGAGCAAAAATTATGCCGACTGCCTGCAGCTGGGACTGCGCCGGCACACCCGGTGCAGGCAGGATGGGTCCAGGGGTATGGGGGTGCCCCCAGACTCTTTTATTAGTGTCACGGCAAATATCTCCCCAAATATTTTTTATTTTATTTTGTAAGCCAGCTCTAAGTGTAAAGGACTCTTCCTTCTGAAATTCTTCCCCTCCCCTGGCTTCGGCAGGCTGGAGCGTTTCTCCTTCCTCAGCAGGCCAGGACGGTGCAGCAGCAAGGGGAGGGGGAGTCTGTGGTCCCCAGCCCGGCCACCGCCTTCCAGGAGCAGGGTGCCACGTCTGTCAGTCACCACGAGTTCCACGGGGCATCACTCGCCCCCCTATGGCATTGCCAAGGTCTCAGCCGGCCGCAAAGCCTCCCGTCGCAGCGGTGGGGAGAGCTGTGGGTGCGCAGAGAGACGCTGCCGGAGCCAGCAGCGGTGTGTCAGACGGCTCCGGACCAGATGCCATCATGCCGGGCCTCAGTTTCCCCCAGCGCCATGGCGGAGGCAGGAGGAAGAAACATTGACCATTCGCCCCCCTATGGCATTGCCAAGGTCTCAGCCGGCCGCAAAGCCTCCCGTCGCAGCGGTGGGGAGAGCTGTGGGTGCGCAGAGAGACGCTGCCGGAGCCAGCAGCGGTGTGTCAGACGGCTCCGGACCAGATGCCATCATGCCGGGCCTCAGTTTCCCCCAGCGCCATGGCGGAGGCAGGAGGAAGAAACATTGACCATCCTCGGGCTGCCCCGGGGAC